TTCCCAAGTCCACATCTCTTTCCCAAACTCCAGGAGAATAAAGCCAACCCCAGACTGAACTCCTTCTCTCTTTTTTTTTAATATTTATTTTTTAGTTATAGGTGGATACAACGTCTTTATTTTATTTTTATGTGGTGCTGAGGATCGAACCTAGTGCCTCACGCATGCTAGGCGAGCGCTCTACCTCTGAACCACAATCCCAGCCCCTCAACTCCTTCTCTTCGTTCCTTAAACCTTATTTTTCCCCTACATTCTTCTAGCCCGTCACCTAAGTCAGGAAGGTGGCACCGTCCTTGCTTCCCTTAGCTGACCTCAGATGCCTGTCACAAGTCAGGCCCTGTGCAGGTCCCTGGAGATACAACTTGTGCGCACACACACACACCAGGGACCTGCCGTGCCTGCCGCTGGCGGGAGAGACTCGCATACTGATGCATGATTAGTCCGAGGAAGGTAAAAAATCAGAGTCCTGATTTTGATTGGAAAGACGTCCTGGGGAAGAACATTTGAACCAAGATCTGAAGGATGATTAGATGTTTGCAGGCAAATTGCGGATGGTCACCATGCCAGGCAGAGGGAAGACCTGGCGTGCAGGATCTGTGGTGGGAGGCAAACTGTTGAAGAAATGGAAAGGCCAGGAGGGCTGAGGAGGAGCTGGCCATGGTCAGAAGAGGCCGGGCTGATGGGTGAATGCCTGGGAAGTCCATGATTAGTCTTTCTCGGTTCCTTCTTGTTTTCCTATACACACCCCTTTCCACCAGATTCTCTCGAACCTCTCTCCCCATTCTTCTTCTCCATCCCTACATCCTCATTGTTTTGCCCATGGATGAAGCCAACAGCCTCTTGCTACCTTCAAATTCATGCCTTTTAAATTTAAGCAGTATTCTAACTAACATAAGTCTGATTAAGTTAGTCCTTGGGTAAAATCCTCTCTGACTCCTCCATTGTCAAGATAAAGTCCTACCCAGGGATTTCTCTTTTTTTAGTCCACCTCCCACCCACTTCAATGCCTCTTTGCTCGGGCTTTCTCCAAATTCTCCTGTCCCCTGGGCTGCCACCTGGCTGTGTGCTGGTGCCTGGGGACCCTGACTTCCTTTGTCCACTGGTGAAGTCTTTCTCGTATCATGCACCACAGTGCAGGGGCAGTTTCTCTGTCTGGGAAGCCAGCTCCCTCATCTCAAGCCATTTGCGGACCCCTTCTTCCCCACTGTATTTCCCTCTTGGCTCAGGTGCTGCCCCCCTGTGCCCCCCACTGTTATTTACAGGCACATCTGCTCTGCTAGACTGTGAGAGAAGAATCTGGGGCTCATTTATCTGTGTTCTTCTGCGGTCACAGGGCTGGGCACATATTAGGTGCTTGATACACGTTTTGTTGAGTTGAAGGTCTAGTGAGGAAGGAATGACTTTACATCAGCAGGAGGCAAAAGATGAAGCTCCATCTAGAGGACTCTTCATAAGGGCATCTGGCTTCCAGGACCTGCCTGGGCCATCTGAGTCTGATTCTTCCATTGACCCATCACAAGTCTCAGAGCTGCGCCTCCACCTGCCACGCACACCCAGCGAGAGGACAGGTGGACACAGTGGAGACAGGCCTAGGTAGATTCACCCTTCCAGCATAGTAGTTCTCAAACTTCAGCAGACATCAGAGTCATCTGGGTTACCTGGTTAGTTAGACTTTAGTTATAAATAGTATTTGTAAAGCCCCTCACTTAGAACCCAGCGTATAATAGATGACTAATAAATAGTGAGGGTAAGTGGTACGGGCTGTTTGTCACTTTGTTTATATTATTTATGAGTGTCCACATCTGGAGTTTCTGATTCAGTAGGTTTGGGGTGGAGCCTGAGAATTTGCTTCAGTAACAAGTGCCCAGGTGATGTTGATGGTGGTAGTCTGGGGACCACACTTTGAGAATCTCCATTCTAACCAAAGGATATGCTCCAAAAATTATTGCTCTTTACAGTGCTGGGGAAGGAGATCGGGGGAGCTTTTTGCTTGGGTTTGGCTTTGTAGGCTTTAAGAACGATTAGTATGAGGTTAATGTGGATAGATGGATCAGATTCTACAAGCCTACCTCCACCCTGTCCCCGGGCTTTCCCGCAAGGTGTTTCTGCGTCCATTCATCAGCCACTCAACAAATACATTTTGTAGTAGGTGCATGGCAACAGAGTGAGGTGAAGTTGTTGATGTCAAGATGAAATCGATACAAAACTGTCCTTAAGGGAGGCCTCTGGTGCAGACATAACCATAACTCAAGGAGTCCAAAGGAGAGATGTCTGCTCCGATGGGCAGTGAGTTCCCCATCTCTAGAGCTGTCCCAGAACAGGCTTCTAGATGGTTAGTGGGAACAAAACAGTTGGATACATGGTTACCAAGTGACTGTTAAGATCTTGAAATTCTGTGATTAGGGAAAACAGTGATGATTGACATATCAAATGGGACAAATGAAACGCTGTGGGGTTTATAATGGGTTGATCTGCAGAGGCAGCTGAGGCTGCTGGTGTAAATACTGATAATATGACTACTTTTAATAGATACTTAGTCCTCATCAACATTGTGCTTGGGGTGTAAATGGATTTATATCCAATGACCTGATAATTCACTGCTTATTGACCTCATATCATTTAAAAGGTTAAATGGAGAAAGCCACAAGCAGGCCCAGAGTGTACCTCAGGGGCCTCTTTGGGCCCAGCTTCCTGAATCACATGGAATTGAGATGCATGGTGCCATTTTACTTTGTTTTGCAATATTTATGAGAGAGAGAGAGAGCGAGGGCGAGAGAGCGCAAAACTTAAATTTACAGTTTCTAGGGCACCAACTTGAATTTCAGACTCTCATCTTAACCTTATCAAGAGAATTCAACCAATTGCCAGACTGCATAGAATGAACCAAAAATCCTCTTTCGGAGGGTCTTGCGCCTAAGATGTGACAAACACAGCCAATGCCCCTTGCCCATCTCTTGCCATTTATTAAGCATCTATTACATGCTGGGTACTGAGTGAGATGCTTTGCAAATACTGCTTATAATCCCTTTAACCATCCTTCAAAGGAAGTATCATTATCCTCATTTTCTAGGAAAAGGCATAGAGAGATTTTTGTGTCTTGTCCAATTTCATAGCAAAACTCTTAGATTTATTTTGGAAGTTGACATAACCATAAAATTGAAAGCTGATAAAACAGCCCCCAAATTATAGATCTATGTCAAGTCTGAGTACAGCTGCATTATTAGCAAATTGAATGCAGCAGTATATCAATGAATAACCAACTCTGACCAGAATGCAGTGTATTCTAGGAATGCAAGAATGATTCAATAATAGGAAATATTAGGAAATCAATATAATTCACCATATCGATGAACTAAAGGAGGGCCATACACTAGTAGATGCTGAAAGGACTTTTGATAAAATTCTTCCACATTTAAAACTCTAAAACAGGAACCAGAGAAACCATGTAAATTTGATAAAGACTGAAAATCAGCTACATGTCATTCTAAACAGTGAAACATTAAATCCAATTTCATTAACCTAGGAAATACTTGATTTTGCTATTTAAAAATATTGTCTTGGTGATTATTCAAAATGAAATCAAGCCAACATAAAATGGTTTATATAAATATGGGAAAGAAGGCATGATGTTATTCAGTTTTGCCACGATTGTTGACCAAAACAAAACAGCAAAAGAATCTAGAAGGAAAAGGAACCCTAAGAGAAGTCATGAGGGTATTGGGTCCGATGGCTGGCTAACAGCCCTTCTCTGTACAGTTAGGGTCACACAGCTGCTGAACGTGGGCCACTGAAACTGGATTTGAACCAGTTGTGCTCTCCGTACCTTGGGAAGCCTTTATGCTCACTGGTATAAACCATCAGTGTCAGAACCAGTAGGAGAGAGAGGCCCTAAGAGCTTGTAACCCTCAGGCTGAACAGGGCAGTCCCATCCCCCAGAGGCTGGGACATTGGGCTGAATGTTGGGGAGTCCGAAGGTGGTGGTTTGGTCTGGGGCCATTCAGCCAGACTTCTGCTTCCCAGGCACTGAGAGCCAGCTGGTGACACCACCTCTTTTCTGCTTGGCTCTGAGAAGCCATCTTCCTGTCGCCTGCTGTCTTCATCTCAAGCTGTCCATTAGAGAGATAGTGCTTCCCAGAACACCTTCCGTGGGTGTGGGGCATCAGCAGATGCCTGGGGCATTGAGGTCCAGGCTTCGGTCACCACATCCACCAAGGAGGCTTCAGCTTCCTGGTTTTCATGGTGAAAGTGAAACATGTTTTTCTGCCCCCAAATCACAGGGTGATAGATGATGTATTAAGGTGCATTCTATTATCATGTGTCATGGATTAAAACAAATAAAAAAAATAAAAAAAATTCACAGAGTGCTGATACGTCCAATATATTGTCCCTATGCTGGCAGTGGGAGGAGCACTGTGAAGAATCCAGGAGGCCTGGGTTCTAGTGGCTTTGTCCCAACCAGCTGTGTGTTCCTAGGCAAGTCACTTGGTGTTCCTGGGCCTCACTTGCCTGATCAGTATCCTGGGATATTGGACTGGAGAGGTACCAGTTCCCTTTGAATTCAAAGTTTCGGTAACAGTCACGCTTAATGTGTGACCCCCAGTGTGCTCAGTGCTTTGAGCAGGGGTCTACCCGTCACAGCAGCCCGTGAGGTAAGTACTGCTATTATCCCCATGTTGTGTCTCTCTCTGAAGCAGCTGAGGCACAGAGTGGTTAAGTGACTTGCCCGGGCTCTCACTGCTAGGGAGTGGTGGGGCGCTCACACAGCTCTCGATCTCTCTGTTGTCCTTGGATGGTTTTTCTTCACTGACTGCCTTGTTGGAGTGGTATGGGTTCTGTCAGGAGCTGGGGAGTGACGCTGGGAACGGAGATCACTTTCTAAGGGAAGGCTGGCTCTGGGGTGGATGGCCGGTGTTGCCACCTGGGGGAAGGAGAGCAGTGGCCGCCGGAGGTGCTGATGTCACTGATGTCGCCTTTCCCCCTCTTCCTCTCTTCCTCTCTAGTCTGCGGCAAGCGCTACAAGAACCGACCGGGACTGAGCTACCACTACGCTCACACCCACCTGGCCAGTGAGGAGGGGGACGAAGCCCAAGATCAGGAGACCCGGTCCCCACCTAACCACAGAAATGAGAACCACAGACGTGAGTCCCCACTCGTGAGGTTGGGGCAGGGAGGCGTGGGGAGGGCAGGGATGGGGGACACTCCTTTCCTCCACCGCTGGCTGGCATCTTCTGGCAACACTGGTGGGTCTCAGTGTTCGTTGGGGGTGGGCTCCTTCAGCTTCCAGCCTTGAGTGACCTGGGCAGGGCCAGCACAGCCAGCTCTGGAAGGAAGGCCATTCAGCAGAAGGGGCGGGCCTTTACGAGGTCACTGCAAATGCCACTCTCCGCTCAGCGGCAGATGACCCACTCGCAGCTGTGAGACTGGGCTGGGCATAGCCCTTGGGGGTGTTAGATATCCCCACTGTCTGCTTGACCCCTAAGAATCTTTGTATTTTCTTTTTTTTTTAAAAAAAAATTTATGTTTTAGTTGTAGATGGACAGCATGCCTTTATTTCACTTATTTATTTTTATGTGGTGCTGAGGATCGAACCCAGTGCCTCAAGTATGAGAGGCAAGCACCCTACCACTTGAGTCACATCTCCAGCCCAGTCTTTGTATTTTCTTTTTAACTGACACATAATATATATGTTAATCTATTGCTGTGGCTTTGTTATAGGGAGTCATGATTACAGGGGGTAATAGGGATATGGTTGGAACTCCGTGTTACCTTGGAGCATTCAAATGGCCAATGGGATCTGGGTGGATTTGCCATTTGGGATAATCAGTCCTGAAGGCCCAGCATGACCCTGAAGATTTTGTGTTTCCATTTTCTTCCTCAATTTCTGTTTACGAATTAGGGAATCAAAAGGGATCTTAGCATCTCCCACCTGACTTCCCTCTGTGACATCCATTATGGCCTCTGGGTCTGCAGCACCTTGAAATGGGATGGGGTTGTGGAATCTCTAGAGCTTGCTTCAAAATATGGGTGGGGGAAGCTGAGATCACTTGGTGGGGAGAATTTGTGGACGTGCAATGTGTTTTTAATTTTGTTCATAAGATTTGGTGGCAGGTGCTGTTCGAGTGAACAATTGAATGCAATTAAAGGCAGCAGAACTTGAAGAATATTCAGAGTCTGGGATTTAAAGATGATGCTAGTGTGTTTTAGTCAGTCAGCGTAGTTGACTGATGTCAGCTGGGCACCTTTACTGAGTATTTGAATAATTAACACACCCGTGGCTAAGACCAGCCTTTATATTTATGTGTGGCTTCCTCTCACTCTACTCCACTTCTTAGTTCACTGGGCCACCCTAACAAAATACCACAGACGGGGGTGTTTCAACAACAGAAGCTTATTCTCTCACAGTTCTGGAGGTTAGAGGTCCAAAATCAAGGTGTTGGCAGGACTGGTCACCTCTGACGCCTCTCTCCTCGACATGCAGATGGCTACCCTCTCTCTGCACACCTGCTCTGGAGTCACCAGTCAGATTGGATTAGGGCTCATGGCCTCCTCTGACCTCCTTTGACCTCACCTTTTTACCTCTTCAACCCTGTCTCCATATATATTTACATTCTGAGGTGTCCTGGGGTGAAGCTTCCACACAAGAATTGGAGTGGGGGACCCAATTCAGCCTATAACACCTTCTTTAATTCTTACTTTCAGGGTTCAACCCTTGTTTTCTCACCCCCATTGTCATCTGTGCAGAACCTGAAGAGCAGGGCAGGAGGTCTCTGATGGCTTTGTGCCCTCTCCCTGCCCGCTCCCGAGCGGCTCCAGCCCCAAGGCCTCTGTCTTCCCTCTGGGAGAGGTCTCCTTGGTCCTGTCTTTAGGAAAGGAAAATTCCTTGACCTGTACCCAGGCAGCCGATGCTTGGTTTCCCTGTCTCTCTCTTTTCCCTTCTCTGGTCTAAGTGATCAAGAGGTCACAGGAGCTGTCACCTCCTACCAGCAAGAGGCTGAGAATAATCCACTTTGATTTGGGGTGCTATCTGGAAAGTGGTTATTAGTGATTGCTGCTCTCTCTCGAGTGTTTATTAGCGTGGTGTTATTTCTCCATCTCCCAGGGCTGGCTTATACCCTCATCTCTCCTCCGTGCTGGCCATTTTGGTGTGAAGGTGCAGTCCTCATGTTATGGGGTTTGGCCTGCTTCTGTTTTGTTTGTGTCTGTATTTCCCTAGTTCTCTGGAAGCTTCACTACCGTAGTGGTGTGCACGTCTGTGCGTGTGCACGTGTGTACTCCTGTGTTCACGCATGCACAGTCTTGGCCACAGCAGAGGAGGGCATACTGCAGACCTTAGGTGAAGGAGCCTTCCTCTCCATTGTTCCTGTGGTCCCCACCAGCTTGGCTGTTGCCTCCTGAGGCTCTGCTCTCACAGGCACATTTCACTTGGTCCCCTAGGACCTCTTCATCCTCTTTCATTGGTGGGTGTCCTCCTTGTGAGGCCCATGATCTTGCTTAGTAAGGAAGTGGTGTCTGTCTTTCTTTTTTCTACCTAGAGGTGCCTCCCTGAGAAATGTCCCTATCTCTCCATGGGCCTGTGGGTTGGCACATGCATTCCGACCTTTTCTGCTGCTTGTTGTTTTTCACCCTGTGGATGAGAAACCTGACTCTTCACAATTGATCATTTGACTGACCAAAGATTTTAAACCTCATACAAAAGAATAGCCATACCTGGGCTGATCTGGGGCCTCCTCACATGAAGAAGGTTCCAGAACCCTCACAAACATCTTTTTTGGGGGGCATTTTCTCATTTGCTCTGAGAAAATGAGAACTCTGTGATTAACCCCAATTTTAGGAAGGTGCCGCAGAAAGGTTCTTAGTGTCTGGAGAAGACGTCCTTCCCCACTGTCCCCAATTTCTTTGGACAAACCCCAAGGTGGCTGCTGTCCCTGGGTTCTGTGCCCCACACAGACCACCGATTTGCTTGCTGCTCTGAATGTGTGCTCTGTCTCCTCCCGCGTTCCCCTGGTGAGCAGCCCCCCACCATTTTCCTGTGAGTACTAATTGCCAGCATCATTAATACCCAGTCATTAGCTGCTCCCACTGTTTGGGGCTTGGGGTGGGATCCCATTCATCCTGCCCCTAAATGCCACTGGGACTGTGTGGTGAATTGAATGTGACAGCTCAGCAGCCTTCTGAGGTCTCTGCCTCACCATCCTCCCATGCAAGGCTTTGGGAGTGGGGGAGGGGGCAGGAGCACTTAATCCAGGAGGCTAATCTGGGGCTCCCCCCACCTACCCCCCGCCCCTCTGGAAGGTCTGAACACTAACGCTAGCGCAGTGGCAGTGGAAATGCTGACTTCCCCCGCTTAGCAGAGCTGCAGGGTGACCTGAGTCTGCAGGGCCGTAGGCAGCTGGTTTGTACCACCTGCAGCAGTAGAGACCTTTCGACTTTGGTCCCCCCCGCTGTCCCTTGCTCCATCCTCTCCAGCTGTGTCTTCAGAGCTCAGTGCTTGGCCCTGCTCCTACTGCTGTTGCTGCGGAAAGGGCAGAGTGACCAGCTGGAGCCAGCATTGACCTTCCTCCCCCAGCCCCCACTGCCCTGAGCTGCTAGCTCAGCAGTTGCCAGCCCCTCCCCCGCCCGCCTGCCCCTCCCAGCAGATACACTGTCACTCTCTCACCTTTGTTTCTGTCCCAGTCTCTCAGTTTCTGTGTTTCCTGTAGACTTGGCCCCTGTCCTTGGTGCTCCAGCTTCTCTGCCTCAGCCATAGGCAGCCCAGGGTGCAGACCTTCCCCTTTGGGATAGCCCTTCTGCTGTCAGCTCCCTTCCTTGGCCTGCTGTCCTTCCTCCCCTGTGCTGAGGCTGGATTCTTCTTTCTCCCTCCATTTCTCCTTCATCTACCTTCTATGAATGAAATTACCATGTGTAACCTGTACAGTTACACACACATGTAGATGTGCATATACATCAATAAAAGGAGGGAGGGCTTGGGTGGGGGTCAAGAATCGGAGAGGTGCCACTCTGAAGCATTCTGCATGACTCCCACGAAGTGTGACTAGTAAACAGGGTTAGAATTCAACACCCCAACCACACAGGCTCACTGTGTCAGAACTCTTCTTGGATTTCTTTTTACTTTCTCTGCACAGGGATCATCTATTATAGATGATGTTTTCAAGATACTTTTTGGGGTAGGACTGGGCCTTTGCTAAGTCTTAGAGTAGGATGAAACAAGTGTATAAATAAAGTCAGGGCCATCCATGCATCTATGGTTTTGCTAACCATGTATTAAATACTGACCACATATTGGACCTGGGAAGTACAACATGCATAAGACTTGGCTTCATCCCGGAGGAGCTCACACTGTCGAGTAGGGCTGTGGAGAGAGGTGTGTACAGAAGGGTGAAAGGGCCAAGGGCTCAAGGGTGCATTCTCTCTGTCTCTGGGCAGTGGTGCTGAGTGCAACCACAGCATCTCCTGGGGGAACTCACTGGACATGCAGATTCTCAGGCTCCATCAGACCCTTTGGAACAGAGACTCCAAGAGTGGGGATGAGCATGCTATGCTCCAGTGCACTGTGGTACACAGTAAAACTCAAGGACCACTGCATTGGAAGATTTGCACAGGCTTCACGGAGGAGGGGACATTCAAATTAGCTCTTGGAGATCAAGGAGGAATTTCTAGGAGGGAGGAGGTTTCCTGGATCCCAGGAGGGAGCCCTCTGTAGAAGGCGGGGAAATACAAAATTTTAGTGGAAGGATGGAAATGTAGGTGGGGGTCACAGTTAGAGTCATATTTCTTGCATATTGTGTAATCTTTACTGTAGGAAATGGAGAGACCTCATAGCCATTACTAGAAGGCAAGAACAAATGATTTATAAAGAAATTCATTTAGAGCCTTATTAAATCTTAAATGGCATATCTCTTTTATTTAATAGTGTAAATAAATAGAACATGCTTCTCAATAACATACTTGGAGCTCCTAAGAGGGAAGTGTTTTTGAAAATAGGGTTCTATGAAATTTATCTCAACCTTATTTCTCAGGTGGATGGAATTGAAATTGGGGGATTGTCCTAGGTCCCTGGAGGTTTCATTCAGTCTTATATGCAGTGGTGGTATGCCTAGCACAAAGTTAGGCTTCCTATTGCTAGAGAGAGAGAGAGAAA